GCTCGACCTGTGCCCCGACCCCAACCTCAGCAAGGCGCTGGCCAAGTGCTACCGGGAGAAGTCCGTGTGAGTGAGCTGGCGGCGGGGAGTTAGGTGACTGAGAGGTAGCCAAAGGCGCCGTCGGAACATGCCTTCAGTATTAATCACTATGCGTCACGCAAACGGCATATGCTCAATGCTCATACGCAAAATGCTTGGTCAAAATAACTTACCCCTGTGATGTCCCGACGGTCAGTGATACGTGCTATGCCTTTGCCCGATTCGATTTGCTCTTGATATCTCGTGGAGGCACCTATCAATCATGACCTCGTCTAACCTAGTGTGACCCCTTGGCCTGTCATGGATATATCATGACCTCGTCTGACCCAGTGTGACCTCTGTGACCGCTGTGACCTGACAGGGAGGCCACTGAGCGCGTCATGACCTCGTCTGACCCAGTGTGACCTCTGTGACCGCTGTGACCTGACAGGGAGGCGACTGAGCGCGTCATGACCTCGTCTCGGTCGAGCGGCGCGGCGAGCGGCGGCGACCCGGCCGGTGACGCGTCCACGGCCGCCGCCGCCGCCGAGGAGTGTATGGTCTGTTCGGACAACAAGCGCGACGTGCTGTTCCAGCCGTGTGGCCACGTGTGCACGTGCGCCAGCTGCGCCGACCGCGTCAAAAAGTGTCTGATCTGCCGGCGCGAGGTGCTCAGCCACTCGGAGGTCAGTGCCGCCGCCGGGTGGGGGAGGGGAGGGAGAGTCGCGGGTGGTGGGCTCACACGAGGCGTGGGGTGTTTTCGACGCGAGGGAGTCAGAGCCGTCCGTTCGGCTGTATGTGTCGTCTGATCTCAGTCCAGCTGTTTGTTATGCCATCAATTTTACACGAGAATTCGGGCGTTACTGTCGGTCACAATTAAGAATGTCAGGGTAATGGAAAGAGGCACTGTGTTCTGGTCCTCATGTAATTTAAGACCGCTATTAATCCTAACCAGCGGGGCTGTCTACGTCCTTATTGAGAACTCGATGTGTCCGCAGCTCCAGTTAGGTGGTTAATTTTCACTGCACTAACGCACTCGTTTAGGTACTCTGCTTGTCTCCGGTAACTGGCCGTTTGCTCACCTACCTAACACGTTACATGGACATCTATGTGATCGTATCGACCTATTCATCCTCCCTCAGCCGGCTGACCCCACCCCACCCCTCTTCTGTGCGTCGGCAGCTGGAGGACTGCATCATCTGCTCGGACAAGCGGGCCTCGGTGATGTTCCGGCCGTGCCAGCACATGGTGGCCTGCCACTCCTGCGCCACGCTCATGAAGAAGTGCGTCAAGTGCCGCGCGCCCGTCGAGGCCCGCGTGCCGCTGGCCGTCTGCTGCGGCCTCGAGGGTGAGTATCGAACACCTACCTACTGGGCGGTAATCGTCCTTTATCAGTCTTTTAGTGCACATCTCCCCAGGCTGCTAACTCCTCTCCGGGCACCTGACCACCTTTGGTGTGCCTCAGGAGCTCTCACGTTGTCTGACTCTGACCTCACTCTTGGTAGCCATCCTCTTTCCCTGGCTTTTTTTCCAGAAAGTGATCCCTTTCAGTCTCTTGACATACCCTACCTCCCCCAGGGCCGGACAGCGGCGGTGACCTGAGTCTGACCTCCATCCCCCTCCATCAGGACCGGACAGCGGCGGTGACCTGAGTCTGACCTCCGTCCCCCTCCCTCAGGGCCGGACAGCGGCGGTGACCTGAGTCTGACCTCCGTCCCCCTCCCTCAGGGCCGGACAGCGGCGGTGACCTGAGTCTGACCTGTCTGTCCCCCTCCGTCAGGGCCGGACAGCGGCGGTGACCTGAGCGACTCGGATCTGGGCGCGACGGGCGGCGCCCCGAACAACCCGGCCAGCGCGGCGGCTGCGGCGGCGGCGGTGACCTGACCTCTGTCCCCCTCCCCCAGGACCGGACAGCGGCGGTGACCTGAGTCTGACCTCCGTCCCCCTCCCTCAGGACCGGACAGCGGCGGTGACCTGAGTCTGACCTCCGTCCCCCTCCCTCAGGGCCGGACAGCGGCGGTGACCTGAGCGACTCGGACCTGGGCGCTACGGGCGGCGCTCCGAACAACCCGGCCAGCGCGGCGGCTGCGGCGGCGGCGGCCGCTGCCGCTGCTGCCAACGCGGCCGCCGCGGCAGCAGCCGGGCCCGGCCGGATGGCCACCAACGCGGCGGGAGCCCAGCGGCCCATGAACAACCACTCGGACGTCCAGAAGCTGCAGCAGCAGCTGCAGGACATCAAGGAGCAGGTCAGTGCGGACGGGAAAACTGGGTTCGGAACGGGGATCAACAGGGGATTGTGGACAAAAGAGACTATATGAACTTTATCTTTCTGTTACACCCTATATGCACACTCTGTCCTATCCCCTAATCTGAGGAGTATGATAGGGAATTGAGGCATATGAGAAACTGAGGTGGTATATCTCTCGAAAAGCTATTTTCAAAAGCAGCTTCTTCCACAGTTATAATGGCACGGGAAGAAATGAGAAACTTTTTCGTTTGCGCCCGCCCTCTGCCTGCTGGCAGTATCCGCCCCATGACGCTGTGCCCTTCTGACCATGTCCGCAGACAATGTGCCCGGTGTGCCTGGACCGGCTGAAGAACATGATCTTCCTGTGCGGCCACGGCACGTGTCAGATGTGCGGCGACCGGATGCAGGAGTGCCCCATCTGCCGCAAAACGGTCGAGAAACGCATCCTGCTCTACTGCTGAGGGTCGCCGCCGGCTCGGTGTTAGGAAGCCGCGTGGGGCGCCCTCTGGCGGACACCGCACTCCACAGGGGGTCGAGACTCGGACTCAGGTGTGCTGTCCGCCCGCGACTGCTGTGTCCGCCCCTGAACCGTGATTCGTTCCTGAGTCGACCACACGGTTCTCGATATTCTCAGAAGTTCGTCGGCTGTTTTCCCGTTAAGATCAATCATTCGTCCTCCGTGCTGTGTACAGTTTTTCGCCAGCCACCGCGCCGTGCGTGGTGCCCTCTGCGCGCCCAGGCGGGCACTATCGCGGGGTGTCCTCTGCGTGCCGAGGGTAGCGCTGCTGCATGTTGCACTCTGTGTGCTCGGGGTATTACCGTCGCGTCGTACCCTGTGTTCGTCTACGGCTCCCGATCCCAGCCGTGACCGCTGGCGCCGCCCGACGCCCCGAACCGGCCGCGTGGAGAGGACGCTACCGACGACAATCCGACGAGCTGCATCGGCGTGTGGAAAGGCTGTCTGAACTGCTGGACGTGTGCTGATGCGGGTGATTAAGTAGGTTCGTGTCTGAGGAGAGTGGGTGGTTCCACTGGAGCGCCGGTACTGTGGGGGAACAGCCGTGCCGCGGTAGGTGAGTCCGGCTGTGGCCGTGCTACGGCCGTGCGCTCGCCGTGGCCGCGTGTGATGCCGTCCGGAAGGGCCGTTATATTGGGGAGGCGAGTGGGCCGGATTGTGTCTGGCCGAACCAACTGGAACCGTCACTTTAGTGCATGAATGAGGTCACGTGTTTGCTCAGAGCCCCATGTTTTAGCGTGGTGCTACCGCTTTATCTCAGAATGCAAGTTGCGTATGTAAAGCTACGAATAATCTACACTGTTGGTTGCTTGCATTAAATGTGATGTGTAATTGTATATTGAATACCAATGCATGATTATTATTTACATGTGCATATACAAAATGTGATCTGACCGCACGGTGGCTTATAGCTGTGAAGATGGCTTGTAGGATCAGTTGGACTGTGCATGATAAGTTTTCTTGGGTTCTTGGTACCATGCCGTTCCAGCAAGGTAATTGCAAATATTGTTTGCCCGTAAGAAATTTCACGGTCGGCTGGATCTTGTACCCTTAATTTTAAGGCTGAGTAACACGTTCGATAGCATGCATCTCAAATGTTGAACAATGTGACGTATTAAAATTGTCACGTATGTACGATACCAAAGGGCATCCCTTGCGCCCTCTGTATCGTAGGAAGTTGATATATAGCATGGTTTTGTCGTGGCGTTGCCTCCTTCCATTTTGTAACCATTGTTAAACCAGTGACAGCGTGGAATGTGTTGATGGCGAGAGAAAAAAACAATCTGGCGGGATGCTGACGCGGCCATCGGTGTGTCTCCAGTGTCTTCAGACGCTGAGCTGAGCTGCGTTCGCTGAGCTCCGTTTGTATTTGCATTTTCTGATGTTGACTTTATAATAAAAACGAATGTGTTTCAAAGACCTTTGTATAATATCTTCTCATAGATAGGATCGGTTGTATCTGATCGCTTTGCCCCGTATAGGAAATGCTTTTGAAGCATAACCACGGGCTGATGGCCCCGAAGAGGACTGATCAGTGATCATCGATCAGTGGTCTGTGGTCAAGTGGCTGGGAAGGCGCGCATACCAATGGCACTGCCATACCGATTTCGTACTCGCCTTCCGACTAATGCTTTGAAATGTGAATGGAAGTAAAATGTACAGCGATGGCGACAAGACAAACAGCCGAAACAGGCATGGAATGTGCTAAGCTACATAAGACGTTAGACCGTAGACGAGTGTAGGTACTAACCTACCGTTTGTAAGTAAAACGGAGAAATGGGTCTGTAGGTCGGGAAGAGATTCAAAAGAGAAATGTTTTGAAAAAATACGTTGTTTTCGATTGTGATGATTTTTCCCGCTTTCTTAGTAAAACCTGGTCAAATAGAACATAAGTGAAATAAAAGGCAGATGAATATATTAATTTTAATTTCTTTGCCAGAGGAAGAGTCACAGATGTGAGATGAAGTATTTTCCTATATCTAAAGTTATTTGGGGAAGTGAAAATGAGGCCATATTTCATTTTGTGTGTGATATCTGCGCATCAATGACAATGTGGCGCACAAGGCGCGACAGCTAAAATTAATTTTGATTTTCGTCATCATCATCAGGCTTTATTGTGGGTTTTTCTCGCTCTTTTTGTTTATATTTCAATTCATATTTTTGTAACATCGTTGATATACGGCCTTGCGTTGGACGATTTCAGGTAAATTGCTTTTCAATGTAGAATATAATGAGGGTTTCATCTCTTCATCCTTGCCGGCCTACTATAAGTCGAAGTGGTTAAGTCAACTTCACTGACTTCAACTTATTGTTTGCTTACTGTTACCGCTGTTGGATTCAAAGCTGAAACATTTTACCCATCAGTAGCAAGATCCTATATACAATCACAATCAGTAGATCAAGATCAAGATCAATATGAAAGATTGAAAGCATTCAAGTTTGTAGGTGCTTATGTACAGCCCTTGGTATGTAACTGCTTGGGCCTTGGGGTAACGGTGGGGCAGGCGCAGGTGTCGCCAAAGTGACGCCTGCCACACCGTTACCTTGCTTGGTAGGTATTTTTTTCTAGACAAAGTGAATAATGGCTTGATGGTTTTTCTGTTATCAGTTGATCAGAGACATGATAAATATACAATGAATAACATAGATATGCCATGTGTCTCTCAATTTTGAATTGTTAATCATTAAACAAATTGTACACCAAGCATGGCAACAAAACCAATCTGTGACTTCAATTGTTTTAGGTTAAAAAAAAATAATGAGTCAATTGTATGCCTGGAGTTGGACCCTACCTATCAACCCTGTAGCTAAGTCACTGAACTTGCAGTGTCAGGTTTTTAATGGTATAGATAAATATCTCCAGTGTGTGGTCTGTGTTGGTCAGAATTTTCTTTTCAACAGTGTGCAAAGAGTACTGTGTCCTGACTCCTGCACTGTGTCATGTGTGTGCTCCACACTCCTTGCTATGGGAATTGGGAATTCATTCTTAAAAAATGTTGAAACACATCTTTGAAGAAAAAACTTTGAGCATTGAAACAGCAATCCAGCATCCAGACTTCAGTTAGTAAGAATCACTGGGTTTTGTTAATTATTATAATTTTAAAGATACATCTTATTTAGTAGTGCTAATCAAAATGTTTTGCTGGAAGCCAGCCTGTCACTGTCTTGTGGCTGTCTTGTTAGGTAGCTCCAAGGTAGATGAAGTACTGATATCTGATGTCTCCGGCACAGCAGGCCGCTGCGATGTCTGGCGCGCCGCTGACGCAGGCCTCCAGCCCGCCGCGGCCGCAGCCGGTGCCGCCCGGCCGGGTGCTGGTGTCGCTGCGCTGGCAGGGCTCCGAGCTGGCGGCCGTGCTGCGCGCCGGCACGCTGCGGCCCCTGTTCTCGGACCGGCTGGGAGTGGCCGACTTCCTCCCGGCGTCGGATACGGCCGTGCTGCTGCTCACCGAGCGCGACCTGATGAGCCCACAGCTCTGCCGCCGGCGGCTGGTGACACTGGCGCAGGCAAGCATGCCGCACAAGGTCAGATCGCTGTCTTCGGTTTTACGCTGCGGCTACACACAATACAGCTTTGGGCATGCTGTACATGCACTATGCAGTGTTTGCCTTGTGCTTTCCTCCCACTGTTCACACAATACTTTGTTGCAGTCACAAAGTGTTGTGATGTGACCTGTGTTCGTCATATCGTTCCGTCACTGCCCATCTCCGACCGCCCGGCCGGTGAGGAGGCCCCGCCCGCCCTGTGACCGGCCGTCCCTGCTGCTGGCCGCCAGGTGGCCGTGCTGGAGCGGACGCCGGTGACGGCGGCGCCCTGGTCCGAGCTGCAGCTGGAGGCGGCGCTCGAGCTGCGACTGGCCGCGCTGCCGGTCGGCTCGCTGGCCGAGCTGCCGCAGCTGCTGGCAGAGCTGGCGGCGGCGGCCGAGCGCGGCGCGCCGCAGCCGCTGGCGGGCCGGCCGGCCGACGAGCCGCCCGCGGCGCGCCGGGTGGCCGCCGCGCTCACTGCCGTGCCCGGACTGGGCGCCAAGAAGGCGGACGCGCTGCTGGCCCAGTTCGGCTCGCTAGCGGCGCTGAGCGCGGCGGCGGCCGAGCAGCTGGCGCCGCTGCTGGGCCCGGCCCTGGCGCAGACCGTGCACCAGTTCTTCAACGGCTGACAGTTGACTGGGACCAGATCAGCTCTTCAACGGCTGACGACACGGCTATTAGCAGAGATCGTGCTCAGGTCCGTGCACCAGTTCTTCAATGGCTGACGGCACGGCTGTCTGACCGGTGAACTGGAGCGGTGACCGACCGCGAACGGAGCGTTCACTCAGGCTGTGAAATAGTGCTAAATAATTTAATCGAGTCGGCGGTATCTCGATGAACTCTACTGTTTTCGCCTACGATGCATAAGAATAGTACACACGTCTGTTCCCACGACGTATAGCGCGGCATGCGTTCAATTGCTGTAAACGTAACTTGTGTCAGTGAGTGATTATGTTTTTAACCGTTCAAGTGATGCCATGTGATAGGTTCTCGTATCGTGCCAGTACCGACCATGCGTTAGGTACCTACTTTACGCATTTCTATCCAAGTTTCTTACTTTGAGCGTATCTCAGCACGCGGGTCCGCACCATACGTAACAGCATTCTTCGGAGATGTATTGAGCTCAATGAATGAAATGCGATGCATATCAACAAATCTTTAAGTCTTTGGAAGATAATGGATTTTTTATGTACCGTTTTTATGACCAATGACTCGCAGCATCTCACGATAGCTGAATGACGCCTATGAACAATCACATCACGGCTATAACGAGACATCTTACCCACACTTGCGTGAAACAGTCCGCACAGCGCGTATTCACACCAGCCTTCCCTGATCATCCGTAGTGCTCCACGGGAGACCCGACGCCGACAGCTCACCGGTCGGCGGTGTCAGCGGGGGCTCAGTCGACGCCACAGTCGGGGCCAGCCATGACCAGAGACCATCGGCCCATTTGAGTTCGTAAAAGACTTGGCGGTGATAGCTCGGTGATGGAATAGACCCGTCGGCTCACTGCGACGGTAACCACAGTTCTCTGCATGGCCTGGACGGCGTCAGAGTAACCACGTTCCACGGTCCGCACAAACACGAATGCACCGGTTCCCACTCAGACGGTCAAGTTCTTCCACTGTTGGTTCAGACGTTCACATCTGCGCGGCCCGGACCCTCGCTATCCCTCACCGGTTCTGGTGCGCGGCGGCGGTGATGTCCCGGCACATGGCCGCGATCTGCTGCTCGTCCATGTGCTCGCAGGCGCAGATGGCGGCCGCCACGGCCGCCGTGTACCGCAGGCTGTCGCTGCGCGCCCACACGCGGCCGTTCATCCCCACGGCCATCTCGAAGCGCAGCTCGGAGCCCAGCCGGCCCAGCAGGCCGCACAGCGGCGACAGCACCTTGCGGCACACGTGCAGCGGCACGCGGAAGTCGAGCGCTCCCTCCGCGGCCAGCACGCCGAGGCCCTCGGCGCGGCCCTTGGAGTTGACGCACACCAGTTCCGGCTCCATGTCCTTGTTGGCGACCAGCAGGCGCGCCAGCACCAGGTCGCCCACCTGCACGTTCGGACGGTTCTTCTTGGTGGCGCCCTCGAAGGACAAGTAGGAGAGCACGGCCGGTTCGTGAGCGCCGATGTCCACCCGGAAAAAGTCGCCGGCGCGCGCGGTCACGGTGCCGATGACGCACTGTCCCCGGACGGGCACGTACCGGCGGCAGTGTGTGTCCACCCAGTGGGTGCGCGGCGCCCGGAACCGGTGCACGCCGGGCTGGAGGACCACGCAGCCACGTGGATCACGCCGCAGTCCCGGGCCCAGGTCCACGTCATCCTCGGCCTCAATCACATCACCTGGCAGAACAAACTCCAGTCCCTCTGGGGAGGCCATCTTGCTATGCTGGAGGATATCTGATGGTGTCTGAAACAGGTGGGGAGGGGCAAGTTAAAAAAAAACTTATGAAAACAGCTGTGCACACTCTTAGGCAGATCCAGACAGTCTACGGCACTGTGCATGTATGTATGTTTGAAGTATCATCACAATCATGGACCATCCACATATGGCATGGTGGTCACAGTGGTCATTGGTGGACATACCTATATTATCATGACACTGTGCATGATGGGGGGGGGGGCATCTACCCCGAATGCCCCCTGGAATCTGTCAGTGTGCAAGCTTAAAAATGCTGATGATACACGATTCTCGATCATGCACTGCTGAGTGCTGACTGACGATATATTGAATTTACTACATGTCGTGCTAGTCAGGGGGCATGGCCACTGGAGTGAGTTAGGAATAGGATCAAGGCCCTAAAGGTAGTAAGGATGGTTTATAGTGCACTTACGGCTACTTAGAAGCCAAAATTATCTGCTAGCAAATGACAAATGATATTCTAGCTGAAAATGATCAAAACCAAACAAACGCACACCCAAAGGAGTGTAAAGCTGCTCGGAAAGGACCACATCCAACAGCTAAACACTCGCTAACTTCCGTAGCATTCCACATTTCAATTTGCGAAATAAGCATACGAACTCGTTGTTTATAACTGTCCCACCTGCGCCAGTTTCACTAATCTTGGATATTCCTGTTCAGCGGTAGTTCAGCGTTCAACCCAATGTCTGTTAATGCTGTTTTTTTTTTAAATAAATACCTATCAATAACAAATATTTTTGCAAATTATGTTTTCAATTACCTTATTTGATAGTTTTGTCAATAAAATTAGCCAACATCTGAAAAATATTCAAAACATTATTGGAGAAAATGTACGTTGACGTCATTTCAGAGCAACCGAAACTGCTATCGGTCTACCACTGAACGGACTTGTTGATTCGCATGTTGTCAGTCAACATTGCATGCAGTAAAGCGAAGAATTGAGTGAGCAAGGGTGTGAGTTTACAATTTATGAGATTTGAACGCTGATTCAGTGAAGTAAAGTGATTATTTGTACATTAGTTTTTCAGAGAAAGTTATCTAGCATTTGTAAATCTATGGCGCTTCATCGATGTCAGAATTGGATACGACCTGTGGGAAATGTGAGGAATTCTGTCTCATTTATTCAGAAGGTATGTCGCGTCCATATTGAAAAATAATTCAGTTATGTATTAACGTGGAAGCATGCATCTTAACTTATTAAGATTTAATATCAAATGTATTTAACTCACATCAGTATCAGTTTAACCCAGATCTGCCCACCGTATCATTTATGATACGATGAGTCGCTCGACCGTTGCTAGGCAACCGACTTCCATCCGAAAGACGCCGAAACTTTATTTTGTGATGTTGTGTTGTCAGTCGTGTGTACTATTTCTAGAGTGGGTAACCTTTTCTATATTTCATATATTTTCCGTGTAGCATGATTAAACAAAAACAGCTGCCCACAGAAGTCGTAATTTACCAGACCCAATAATGCCGACGTTAGTATGCTAACTAGTGCTTTCTGCCAAACTGCTCAATTTTGTGGCAGCATAGTACCAAATGTTCAAGCTCACACACCAGGTGGTTGAATACATTCTTGCGCCAAAGCTGGCGTGTCAGGAATGATAACAACATATTCGTATCATATATGATACGGTGGGCAGTTTCTCACATTAGCCTACACAATTACTTGTCCCTAATCCGCATGTTTTCCGGTCACCTCGGAGCAAATTCTAGACATTCTAGTGGTGGATGACGATGTTGATGGAGGTGACGTCTTGGTAAAACCATCGGAGGCGTCCTACGACACGGACGAGTACTCTGGTGATGATGAGGATGTCACGGAAGAACGTGACCTCAACCGGCATCCTGCTCGGCAGCTGTGTGTTAGGGCCAGTGTGCAAGGAAGAATAAACTTTCCGAAACGCGATTCCGAGAAAGAAGACGTCTCGGAGACCTTCAGAGATGCATGGTTAAGCAGCGTCGTTGTTGCATCCCAGCAACAGAAGTCGAGAAGGTCCTTGAAGCGACATGAAAAGTGGGCAAAAGGGAACACATCCATAAGTCTAAATGGAGCACGTGCCTGAAGTCTGAGGTCGAGTGCAGTGTCACGAAGGAGGATATCTTGTCCTTTTTGTTTATAGTGTCAGAGAACTCGAGGTCAGACTTCGACGATGTCAAAAGCGTGAAACACCATGACCTTCCGGACGAGCTTGAGGACTTCGTCATGTATAAAGGAAGGGATGTCTCATTCAGAGAGGAATCACGGTATTGTGTGACTCGAAGCCTGAAAGATGCATACTGGTGAAGACGATCACAGGACAGTGCCCTTGCTTCCACTTCAGATCTTTCGTCTCTTTGCTTCGAGACCTTCCTGAGCTCTGACGCTGGGCCAGCAACGTTTCCGCTTTACCTCGCATCTCTGAAGGTCTTCGAGACGTTTTCCGTCGGAATAGTGCCCCGGAAAGTTTCTCTTCCTCGCACCTCGGCCCGAGCATTCAGCTACGGAGCAGGATGACGGTTGATATCACGTTTTCTTGTGACATCCTCATTATCACTAGAGTATTCGTACGTGTCTTAGGACGCCTCCGGTGGTTTTTACGAAGACATCATCTCCATCAACATGGTCATCCACCACTGGAATGTCTAGATTCTCTGCCAAGATAAGTCCCAGTGACTTGAAGACAGACGTTAATTGGTAAGTTACTGTCTATTAGTGAAGAACTGGCCACGGAAATTGTATTTGATACCTTCCAGCCCCAAAAGTAAGCATTATGTCAGAAAGCACTAGTTGACCTACTTACCTATAGGTATCTATGGGTATGGTCAATAACGATTTACTGTTTCCTTGGTGTCATTATTACAAATAAACTCAAAGCTGGCAATTCTGAGACGTTTTCACAAGTAAAATTATAGGCAAATGCAAAGGCTCGTTAAGGTGCCATAAAAGTGCGAAAATGCCCAGCGTATCATATATGATACGGCAATTTCCGACAAAACGAGTACAGCCAACAACAAATGACACATGCTGGTAAGCAATGTGATTCAAAAGTACCCCAAAACCAGCGATACAAAAAAATCTGAAAACATTTTTGTTCTGGGCAGATCTGGGTTAAATCAAAGCAAAATCGCACAAACAGAGTTTTGTTCGGTTATTTTGATTGATATATTTTTTGAAGGTCTTCATCATATTTTAAAGTTCATTTAGAAATCATGTGGCAAATTGTAATTAAATATTTGACGATTGAATCCTTGGGTAGGTACCTACCCAGGTACCGACCACTGACTGCTGAGTGTTCAAAATATTCTGATGGAGGCCAGTGCAATGAAGTGTTTGCTACTTCAACCCTTCAAATTTTTTCAGGCTTTCCTGAAAAATGATCTGCCAGCAGTGCAGGTGAAGGGCATCGAGGCTCAAGTTCCAAAGGATGACCAGAGATTCCCTGAAAACACTGTTTGGCCTGATGAATTGAAGTGGGCCAACACCAACAGGTATGAAACAGAAGAATATGACTTTTGTCAAAATTTTGAAAGATGAATATCCCCATTTTAGATTTTAGCTGGTGAGAGTACCCTGTAATCTGCCCCCCCCCCCCCATCAGATATCATTTGTCCCTGTACTTGTCATATTTCCCTGTCACATGTCCCTGTCAACTGTCACCACATCTCTGTCTTCTATCCATGCCCTGTCATCTGGCTGTCACCCTTGTCATTATCTTCATATCACTGTCAGTTTTCACCCCATCCCTGTCCCTGTCTGGTGTCTGTCACCTGTCCTGTCACCTGTCACTGTCACCATGGTCCCCATCACCCATTCTTGTTGCTTGTCCTGACACCTATCACCTATCCCTGTCATCTGTTCAGTCACTGGTCCTGTCCCCTGTCCTGTTACCGTCCTGTTACCTGTTCCTATCCTTATCACCAGTCTTTGTCACCAGTCCCTAGCATCTGTCCCTATCACCTGACCATGTCATCTGTTCATGTCACCTGGCCCTGTCACCTGTCTATGTCACCTGTTCTGTGACATGTCACCTGGCCCTGTCACCTGTTCTGTGACCTGTTACCTGGCCCTGTCACCTGTTCTGTGACATGTCACCTGGCCCTGTCACCTGTTCTGTGACATGTTACCTGGCCCTGTCACCTGTCTATGTCACCTGTTTTGTGACATGTCACCTGACCCTGTCACCTGCCTTGTCACCTGTCCTGTGACCTGTCACCTGACCCTGTCACCTGTCTATGTCACCTTTCCTGTGACCAGTTTGTGCCATCTATCCCTGTCATGTAGTCTTGTGCTCTGTTCCTGACACCTCTCTCTGCCAGGTCACCATGTCACCTGTTCGTGTCACCTGCCTCATCACTTGCTCAGTGTCTTTTTCCCTGTCACCTGTCCCTGTCCCTTTTACACTGCCAACCACTCATGTTACTTGTCATCTGTCACTGTGCTCTATCTCGCGTCCCTCTGGTACCTATCTGATGTTTGCCCCTCCCCCCCCCACCCCGGCAGCCACCGGCGGCCGGCTATCTGTCGCCCCCCCTGATATCTGAAGCTTGCCCCGCCCCCTCCCCCTCCTCGGGCAGCCACCCCACCGGCGGCCGGCCGTCTGTCGCCCCTCTGACACCTGATATCTGCCCCCCTCCCCCTGCGGCCAGCTTTCTGTCGCCCCGCTGATCCTTGACATCTGTCCGCCGGCAGCCACCGGCGGCCGTCGCGGCCGTACCAGCCGCCGGTGGACGTCCACTCACAGCTGTCGGAGGTGTTCCGGGCGGTGCTGGGTCCCGCCGCCGGCGCCCACACGGCCGTCGGAGACCTGGCCGCCAAACACCGGCTGCTGACGGCCTGCGCCGACCGGCTGGGGCACCACGTCACCAACAGCCAGCTGCACAACATCACCACGCTGGGTGAGTGGTGCTGCACAACATCACCACGCTGGGTGAGTGGTGCTGCACACACCACGCTGGGTGAGTGGTGCTGCACACACAACGCTGGGTGAGTGAGTGGTGCTGTAAAACATCACCACGCTGGGTGAGTGGTGCCGTACACACAACGCTGGGTGAGTGGTGCTGCACAACATCACCACACTGGGTGAGTGGTGCTGCACAACATCACAACGCTGCGCTGGGTGAGTGGTGCTGTACACACAACGCTGAGTGAGTGCTGCTGCATAACAGCACAACGCTGGGTGAGTGGTGCTGCACAACATCACCACGCTGGGTGAGTGGTGCTGCACAACATCACCACGCTGGGTGAGTGGTGCTACTGCTGCACAACATCGCCACGCCGCTGGGTGAGTGGTGCTGTAAAACATCACAACGCTGGGTGAGTGGTGCTGCACAGTGCACACACAACGCTGGGTGAGTGGTGCTGTACACACAACGCTGGGTGAGTAGTGCTGCACAACATCGCCACGCTAGGTGAGTGGTGCTGCACAACGTGACCACGCTAGCCCGGCAGTTGCTGGGGTATTTCGCCACCCACCGTTTGCTGGGGGGGGGGGCGTTAAACGCCCCCAGCCGATAACTCGAGAACCAATAGGCGCAGCGAAACACACGAGGCGGCAAACGAAAGAACGCGACGAGACGCTTCAGATGAGTACTTTAAAGTTGAATTTTGAGGTCACAGGTCGGGTCAAGGTCAGGTCAAACACCTGAAATCGGGCTTTCAGTAGCATGGACTTCAAGACTTCGCAATGAGCGCCTCTCGTCATAAACTCTGTCAAAACGGTGCACAATCCATCATATAAGGCCTACAAGAGTGTCAGCCCCATGTAGGGGTCAGTTAAGCATAGGTCAGGTCAAGGTCAGGTCAACCGGGTAGGCACATATCCCCGAAAATCAAAACTGATATTCGCAGCCTGTGACACATGTTTTATGGGTAATTTGGGGCGTAGAACACGATGGTGACATTCATTTTATCATATGTGTACGTGTTTGGCTCAAAAAGTTCAATTTAAGAAATGTATGTATCATGGTCGTGAAGTAGTCACGAGAAATTGCCAAGATTCAGATCAAGATTTTGGCAAATGCGAAACGATAATCAATAATCGAAGATAGCCATTTTGTTGTTCATGGTATTGGCAGTCTAATGCCGTTTACGGCATGTCTGTATGTCTATTCTGTGATTTTATATGATTTTTTGAACATATGCCGTTTTTGGTCGAAAACTCAGAAATCATGACGTCACTAAAACCTCGATATTTCAAAATTTTCCGACCGATTTTTTTTAAAATTTTGTCACAATAGACTTAAATCAATTCCCTACAGGTACCAAAAATTTGGCGCGCCTGCGGCGCGCCGTTTTTATGCTATGGCCCGGCGAAAAAAGTGGGGGCGTTTAACGCCCCCCCCCCCCAGCAACTCGCGGGCTAGGTGAATGGTGCACTGTACAATTTACATTCAACATTGCCTCGTTACATCAGCGTGCTATATGACATCGTTACATCGCTATTAATTGTGATAGGATAGGCCACAATTAATACAGTCGCTACTTATTGTGTATGATAGACCCTGATGACTACAGTAGTTCGTGCGAATGTTATCATCGTCAAGTTTCTAAAGCAAGTTACTGATTGCAACGTGTACGTTGCCCGTTAAAAGTCGATAGGAAGCAGACAGTGATTTATGCAATGCGAATCGAATTCCGAGCATGTCACTCACACACAGAAGCCCACGCTAAACCAATACCTGCGTGTCTGAACTAACATGCAGGTGTTATTTTCATGTGTCGCTCACCCGCCTCATTTCACTCAGGTGACGTCATTTCGTACTACTCGGAGCCGGTGACCACCAGCACTCCGCTGGAGCAGCTGAGTGAACAGGAACTCCCCAAGAACATACACGTTCAGCTCGAGTACCTGCGCTTTCACCCCGGTGAGTGCTGGCCGGCGACTTCGCATCGTAATCCTGACATCATCAGCCCATGGGTACAAGTACACATGTCTCAAATTGTCTTTGGTGTCCCTGTGGTTTCTTTATCTAAGGTTTTGAATACTGCTTGCGACTTATGTCAAATAACTTCTATGTTCAATGCTGTCAGGGTCCTTTTTAATTTTTAATATCGGTTCCTTTCAGAAACGGATACTAAGTTTGGTGGTGTGACTGCCTTCCCGAAAAGTTCGACAGTGGTCTCCTCTATAAAGTACAAGAAGAAGTACCGCGGCTACGCGACGCCCAAATCCTGGCCATACAAGTAGCCGCTAGTCATTTGCAAGCTGTTGTAATATGTACCGTCTGTTGTGTGTGACAATATAGACCATCTTTATACACGGTGTTGGTTATTACTTCATTATTTTTTTATCGAACTCACCCGACGTGTATTCAATGTATTTGACCACTCTTTTGTCGAATTGACTTGACATGTATTCAACGTATTTGACTCAGGACTGGTTTTCATTATATGTCTGATGTCACAAATCTATTTTTACCTCAAACCCACGGAAAGCTGCGTGAAATAGCGAAAAACAACACACAGCTGCCCTTGCCGGGCGGAGATGGTGCGGTCTGACTGTTCAACTTTCTGCTGTGACAACGGTGTTCGGTAATCCAATAGCGCCTGAGGGCCCATTCTCTGGCCGCGAGACCCGTTCGGTGACCTGCAGCCTGTGGCCGACCTCTCTTACGGCGACTGCTCACCGCGCCTGACTGTAAGCACCCGGTGAGCAGTCTCTGTAAGGGAAATCAGTCAGTTGTCGTCGCAACATCCGCAAACGATCCGAGTGGCGAATAGTGCTTTCTGCCTAGTGCTACAAGAAGATCACCGTTGCAGTTGCAAAACGGATGTGACACCCTGTAATTTCACCTCATTAGACGGGCAGTTGCATGATATTGTGTGCGAGTTTTTGCTACCAATGATCCAGCATTTGCTCCAAGGCCATATATAGTATATAGATTTATAGATTTGCTCCGTTTACATTTTCGGGCGTTTCATTTGACATGTTTGATGTGGCTCCCTCGGATAGCTGACACGGGTCAGTGAGTCTGCCGACCGTTCTGCTCTCCTCTTTAACCCACCTACCGCACCAGGGCCCTGTATCACGGCACGCCGCTGCCCGCCGCTGCCACGCATTGGCGCTCGGTATCCATGGAAACGTAAACAACCTTGTTGATTCGGTTAATTCTTATGAAAACCCAGCGCCAACCCCTGGCAGCGCCGGGTAGCGCCGTGCCGTTAACCAGGGCTCGGACGTAACGCGGCTACAGCGGGCGCTGCCTGTGCCGTATCATACCCAGCGGCAGAGTGCAGCTACCGACCTCCACTGCCTGCAGAGCGGACCCGGCGTCTGCGGACTGACGACCTCGCCCGGACTCGCGACCAGGTGAGTGTTCGACTCCGGCGTCACGACGTGTGTTAATGTCGTGATGCAAGGCTTCAAGGGTCACCTCCGGTAAGACTGGGATGGTGCTCATCTTTTCCTTGCTACAGCAGCAGACGTGCATACCGGGAAACGACTCGGCCCCGTCACTGGGTCCTGTGTTGAAATGTTTATGCTACAGACACTTCTTTTTAACTAAATTTGTTAATTAAACCTAACTGTTAACGTGCTTGTCCTTGTGTTATATGAGTGCTGGTTCTTCATTACATCACTCAATTACACTCCAGAGATTTTAAAGGCGTGTTCTCCTGTTGCAGGTCCGCCCTGGGGGTCAGTCGTCCGTCCGGCGCCGGTAGATAACAGGCAAGCGGCCCCTCTGATCCGCACTAAATGCAGCCATATCAGTCTTAGAGCTAGTGCGCTTGCTTTGTGAATGTGTACGACAGTGTAGGTAATAAGAAAAAAAAACGCATTATTTCGTAGTTAGAGCCCATCTTTACTCTCATTGCTTTGTTTTCTCAACGTCGCACTTCTTATCTTGCTTTCCTTCATAGAATGCTCGCCCTCCGCCTTCCCTGTCTATTCGCACGCTTCTTGGGCATTCACTTTAGTGAAAATTCGTTTATCTGCGCAGCTGTACTGCATTTCGCTAAAAAATAAGGCGAAAATTGTTAGAGCAATTGGGAGTGTGAAAAAGGTCGAGGGACTTTCTTAAACAGACACTGAAACTTCAGCTATGACATCATGGTCGAACAACTACAACCGTCAGTAATTGTTTCTCACCACCGCCAAGCACTGGCTGTCTGGGCGGGCCGCGTTGACTGTCTCTGCGCCCCTATATTTTCTGTCTGATGACGTGGTCATACAGCACCACCTGCGTGTAATTGGGCGACGAGACCAGGCTGCGCGTCGAACTGTCGCCGGGAGACTCGACCCGCGGGTCCACGCTCACCACCTTGCGGTCGCGGCGCGACTTGAACACCAGTCCGTGCACGCTCTCTGAGAGGACCTGCCAGTTGGGCGTGTTGTTGCAGCGCGCGTGCTGCGTCTTCCAGTTGAAATAGGCCATATCGCTGAGCCGCGGCATCAGGCGCGCCCGGCCACTGAAGTACTCTGAGAAGTCGTCCGTCTTGAGCCGCTGCGCGTAGTCGACGTAGCCGGAGATCTCCTGGTTTCGCTCGTTGAGATTCCGCAGGAAGATGACGGTGGTGAGGCTGCCGTCGCGGTTGGCCGCCTCGCGGTCGGCCAGCGCGCGCAGCAGCGGGTCCTCCAGCAGCAGGCCGTCCGAGGCCAGGGCGTCCTCACGCGCGTCGCGGCTCACCTTGGACGCCTCGTACTCGGCGCGCTTCTCATCGAACTCCCTGCGGCGCATGAACTCAGCCGTGCCGCGGTAGCCGAGCTCGACGACGGCACGGGCCAGCGTCTGGTCCTCCAGGTAGAACATGTCCTGCCAGGAGGCGATCGAGTCCAGGTAGGCCTCGTACGTCTCAAAGTGCGCCACCGCGTTGACGGTCTGCAGCTGCTCCTCGCTGGCCATTGTGGCCGGTTGGGGTGGCGGGCTCCGGCCCCGGTCTTCAAGGTGGTGGGAGCGCTCGGGCTAGTATTGGTAGTATCGGAGCTCGTTGTTACTTGGTTGGGACTCGGATGCACGTTTGTTGGGCCAATTTACTGTGAATTTATGACCGGATAATGTGTTTTCAGCGCGTGGGATGAGGCAATGGTTTGATTGTCTTGGAGTCGGACGGCGATTTGCTCGCGAGCTGTTTCAGGGCTTTCGTTCGTTATGCGTTTGGGATCAGGGTATATTGAATTAGGTTTGGGACTGGTTTGGGACCCCTATTTCTTCGAACTCGAACCAACTCGAACAAGATTCTGAGACTTTTCAGACCTCGTGAGTTTTCCGTCACGTAATCCTTCATTGAAGTGGTGGGACAGGCATGCACCATGGACCGAAATTGCACGTGTCTAGGTAATGGCTCTAACTTCGACATGAAGCAAAGAGTCGAAAAATGGTCTCAACGTTTAAATATGTATTTAAGCAATAACAACAGCATTTGCATTTCGCAGTTCGGACATCTCGTCTGACTTCCTGCAATTGCATGCTCTTTTAACCCGCGCACCGACGGGGGGGGGGGCGGATATCCGCCCCCCTGAGGTTTTTCGCGGATAGCGGGAAAACCGCGGCGCGTAGCGCCGCGAAATTTGGTATGACTATTCTCTCATCAATTTTACACATGGTGTGCAAGTTTGAACCTCCTAACTTTTAAGGTCAGGTCACCAGGTCACTTTGAATGACCCAACCTCAAGTCACTTTTTTTGCAACTTTGTCACCGTGCCAGAGCTACAGTAGATGTCGGAGGCCTTTGAAAGTCGCAGGATGTTATTAGGTCATTAGTAGCTACAATTTGTATATCTCGGAATTTTGATGTCGGTGACCTAAGGTCAGGTCAATTTCGCGACCTCCCCATTATAAGTCAATGGGGGAAAAATCAACTCCCTGTTTTTACCACTAAAACGGGTCGGAATGGCCCCATATACCATACATGACTTCACATACGATCAACCTTCACTACCTTGAGGTCTGTTTTGCTGTTGGGCAGCTGTAAGGTCATGTGACGTCATCAAAGGTCACCAAAGGTTTTTTGCCAATAACTCCTTACAGGAACAAGATACAGCCGCGCAGATGGTCTCATTGTGTTCAGCTCGTCAAGACGCATCGAATGATATACATGATGACCTCAAGGTCACGTGACCTGAGGTCAACCTTTGACCTTGACCTTTCGAGGTCAACATATATATCATTCGATGCGGATTGACGAGAGGATCACGATGATGCCCTTAGTTTGTTCCTATCTTGACTACTTCGAAAGTTATTCGAGAAAAACCCTCTCCATATCTAGCGCCGCCATTTTGACTTTTTCGACCCCTGTGACGTCATCTTTGACCTGACCTGAAAATGACCTTAGTAAAAATTGTAGACCTTGTCCGTGCGTATCCGATGCCGTTTACCGCTTGTCGCTATCTTGCTTCGTTCTCGAGATCTCAGGGGGGGGCGGTCATCCGCCCCCCCCCCCCCGTCGGTACTAAGTTGGCGCAGACCCCCGTCGGTGCGCGGGTTAACCTCTGTAGGAAAAATGGTTGGCCATCGACTGCTGATCATCCCTCAGTGCTCTCATTGCAGTCACATAGAAACACCTAAGGCGTAAGACATTTCATTATCGTTCAACCATAGCCCAACCTCAATCTCACAGTTACTTTATATCGTGATCTACGAATCACTTTCGCACAACTTCCATCCAACATCTCATCAATAAACAATGCTAACGAACACGATAGCGCCGCATTTTCCTTACTATAGCAGAAGTAGCTATCATATTGGGCCCTCTTTTTAACAACGGCTACAACAATCCACACGGCTCAGTCTACCCCGCCTGCCGACTGCTGTGACCGGACTCGGCCGCCGCCTGTCACCCTGAGGTTCTGCTCGCCCAGTCGCCCTCCCCGGTGTGCCGCTGTGGCCGCCACCGGTCAGGGCAGGTAGCCGAGCGAGTCCTCGATGTCCTGGTCCGAGTAGCCGTGCCGCAGCCGGCGGCCGGCCGGCTCCGGCTCGCTGTCGCTGCCGCTGCCGCTGCCGCCGCTGCTCAGCAGGTTGGTGGTCTGACTCAGCCGCAGTCCGGAGAAAGTAGCCGCAATCTCGGTACTCTTCTTCAGCGTGAGCACGTCCTGCTCTCGCCGGCGCTGCGAGCCGCCGCGGTGGAACACCCGGCCCGCCTCGTCGGCCGCCGAGACCACCAGAAACCGGCCGCCGCCGCCGCCTCCGTCATCGGCCGCCGAGCCGATGCCGGTGTCTGTGCTGCCGGCTCGTGACAGCGAGGTGGCCCGGCCACCGCGCCGCCGGTGGCCGCGGCCGCCGCTGCTGCCGCCGCTCGACTCCCCGGTGGAGGCGCCGCGCGGCTGCTGCCGACGGGCCCGCTCCGATAGCAGGTCGGCCGCGCTGCGGCGCCGCTCCGCCCGCTCCCTGTCGGCCTCGTCGGCCGAGGCGCCGCGCTGCAGCGAGCAGTAGCAGCGGTCGCTGCCCGAGCAGCTGTCAGCGTCACAGGTCAGCGGCAGCTCGATCAGCGAGCGAGACGGCCGGCGCTCGCCCCCGCCGCGCGGGGAGTCGAAGCGGTCCGCGTCCCGATCACAGCCGCAGCGGGCCGGGGAGCGGCGCTGCGTCCTCCGCCGCGACCGGTCGGGGGCCGGCTCGCTGTCGGCCGACACCGAGCCAGATATCTTGGCAGGGAACTCGTCGGCCAGACTCTTGGCGGCGGTCTCCTTTTGCTTGGCGTTTCCGCGGGCGTTGTAGAGCTTTCCGAACGGCGTGTGCTGTTTGAGGTAGGCTGACGGGGACTGGAAGCCGCCCGTCCGCCAGCCGAACCGCGACAGCGACTTTTTGGTGGCCTTGAGCACGTTGCTGATGGTGCTGCTGCCGTCGGACGTGCTGGTCTCGCTCTCGCTGCTGAAGAGCGCCCCCTTGCGCGTCTGCTTCTTCATGATGCTCTTGCTGCGCTGGTACATCTCGTCCTTGCTGAGTGTGAGCGCCAGCCGGAGGAGTAGCTCGCGGTGCTCGGGCCGCAGCTCGCTGAACGACATGCCGCCGGGCGCGATCACCCGGCGCAGCACGTCATCCACGGTGCGGATGCCGTCGCGCTGTTGTAGGTGCGCCAGCAGCTGTCCCAGGTCCACGGCCGGGTCGGGCGCCGCCGGCGGCGGTCGCCGGTCGGCCGACGAGCTCACCACCTGCAGCGCGCTGCGGCTCGGGTCGGACGAGCTGCGGGCCAGCCGCCGGCCGCCGCCGGCCGCCGGCTCCCTCTGCCGGGCGGCCTCGGCGGCGGCAGCCACCAGAGCCGGCACGGCGCCCACGCTGCCCGTCCGCCGGCGCAGCGAGCCGTCACTGGGCGCTGCGTCCCGCGCCCGGCTGCGGACACTCTCCCTACTCGGGTCCCGCTCGAACCCTCGGCCGCGCGAGCTCCCCCTGCTGCTGCTGCCCCGGTAGAACTGTTTCGGGTGCATGCTCTCTCGGCTGTTGTCGGGACTCAGCTCTTCGCGTCTGCGCATGCTTTCTCTGCTGCTGCTCCTCTGAAACTCCTTCCTCCGTACACTGTCCCTGCTGCTGCTCCTCTGAAACTCTTTCCTTCGTACGCTCTCCCGACTGCTGCTCCTCTGGAACTCGCGTCGTCGCACGCTCTCCCGACTCCTGTCCCGGCTCAGCTCACCGTGCCGCCGCAGACTATCTCGGCTACTGTCGCGGCTGAGACCGCTCTCTCGGCTCTGGTCCCGGCTGTGGTCCCGGCTCTGGTCCCGGCTGAGACCGCTCTCCCGGCTGTGGTCTCGGCTGTGGTCCCGGCTGCGGCTCCTGCTGGAGCTGTGGGGACGCTCCGGGTCTATCTGCTCCCCTAGCGAGGCCCCTCTGTTTGACCGGCGGTCGGAGCGGCGCACTGCGTCCTGTCGGCTGGGCGGGCCGGGCGGCGGGGGCGGGGCGCGCCGCCGTCGCTGCCGCCGGGCCGGCCCCAGTGCGTCCTCAGAGCCGGAGCCGCCGCTGCCGCTGACCAGGATGGGCGCGTCGGCGGGCCGCGGCTGCCGGCGGCCGCCGCTGCCCGCCTCCGGCTGCATCCGCATCAGCAGCGCCTGGTACAGGTTGGCGGCGATCACGATGGCGTCCTCGGCGGCGGCGCACACGAACCCGTGGCACTCGAGGGCGCCCAGCGTGCCGGGCCGGCGCATCACGCAGGCGAGCAGCGGCGGGTGGCGCGCTGCCGGCGCGTCCGCCGGCAGGCTGCCCTCGTCATCATCGAGCAGCCGGCCGCGCTCGGGACTCTCCGGGTCGCAGATGAGTGGCAGGAAGCCGAACCGCAGCCGGCCGCCGCCGCCGCCGCGACTGGCCACGAACTTGACGGCTGCCCACACGGCCACTGTGGTGAAGGGGTTGAGCAGCTCCTGGTCGCGCCCGTAGCGGACCCGCAGCCCGGTGTCGCTGATGGACAGCGAGTCAGAGAGCTGCGCGGCGCGCCTCCGCCGCAGCCGCGGCACGTACAGACGCTTCAGCGGCTGCTGCAGCTGCTCCAGACGCGTGGCGTTGTCGGCCACCTGCACGGCGCCCAGGTATTCCACTGCGAACTCTGTGCCGTGGCTGGGCCGGCCGACGGCCGCCTCTGTGGGACCGGGTGTGACGACCGGCCGGGTCCAGAGGGGTGCAGAGCTGCTGACCGGCACCAGGGCGCCTGCCTGACCTCCGGGGCCGCCGGCCTGACCTCTGGGACCACCTGTCTGACCCACGGGCCCGCCGGTCTGACCCCCGGGACCACCGCCGCCGCCTGGAGGGGACCACAGGGTGGTCGTGGTCGGGCGCGCCGGCACCACGCGCGGCGGGGGCGGTGGCGGCGGCGGCTGTTTCCGCTCCGGCGGCGCCTCCACGGGCTCGTAATCGCTGTGTGAGGAGCTGGTGGTGGCGGCGGCTGCTGCGGCGGCGGCGGCCGGTCGGAACAGGGAGTCGATCCGCTGCTTGTAGACGGAGCTGCTCGAGTCCGAGTAGGTGCTGGACGAGTCAGCGTCCAGCCGGAAACTGTAGCCGTCCGACACGGGCCGGCTGGTCAGCATGGTCCGCCGGTGGCGCCGCCCGGCGGAGCGCCGAGCAACTGAGCTTCGTACGGCGGCCGGCTGACGGCGCTAGTGGCGACACCTGTCGGAGAGAGGCGAGAGTGGTCAAACAGACCATTTGGCAAACATCTGTCGGCTTTGCGATGTGACAAGTCACGATACGGTGAGCGGGCGGCCGTCGAAGCGGATCGGCTGAGAGTGGACGCCGCGTGTGGTGGGCGGTCGCCGGTGGTCATCGCTCACTGCCGACCGGGGAGACGGCTCCTCCGTTAGCGGCCAACGACCAGCCGGACGCCTTTCCTGCTAGGTGCAGTGACTGAGGCGCTGAGGTGTAACACCGTCGGCGTTGTTAAATAAACATTGAAGCCTGTTGAGCCTGCTTCAAGATCCCCGGCTGCAGCGTGTTCCCGTGAGACCCATGGGACATAACTGAACACTTCGAGACCTGGACAATATCCAGAAGTCTGTGACCAGGTGAATGTTTTCTGCGTGCTTACGTGATTCGAGCACGGAACTGGGAGCCTGAGACTGAGAGACTGAGGCTGTGGTTGGAAGAACACGCCATCGAGACTGTGCACATTGGCAGGTCTTGGCAGCCAGATTCAGCTGTTTGCCCCCAGTGCTGATACGGCTTTCGCTGAAGCAGATACCCGATCGGATCACTTGCCGTGTGCCGTATTGTAAGTCGCTAAACGAAACCAATAATTATGTGTAGTGATAAGTGGTAAAACTGCGAAAAAAGGTCATATGTTTATAGCTCGCGGCATTTGTCCGTTGAAGTCGATGTGAAGTATTCGTTCATTTTGCCACAGCAGTTCCAGCTCCATGGTCCAGGAAAAGTTTTGTCCTCTACTTATAACACCGCTTCCTAATCGTTTCTATCCCTAAGGGATAACGGTTCTGGTTGCACCCCTGCGTTGTGAGGTGACAGGACCCTTGGCCACGGGACAAGATGTCGTGAACGGACCTCGGGTCATGGATCACCGAGCTAGTTAGGGCCAGGGCCAGTTTTACACAAATTTTACACAAATCCACACGAACGGCCGTGTCGCAAAATGAAGGTCAGATTTTTTTATCGGGGAGGTGAACCAGACAGTTGGCATGCTCGCAGGCCGAAATGACACAGCTTGCCATTGCTGACCAGTTGAGACATCTGCCTGCAGTTTTCACAGTCCGGCGTTGGTGGAAAAGCATACGGCTACTGGCAGCGCTGCCGATCGTCCCGGATCGGGCGTTCGCCCGCCAGTTCGACCGTGACTGACATAAGCGTAGGAACCATGGGTGCAAGGGCGCAGCTGCACCCACAATATTTCTCCAGTGGGTGCAGACAATGTATTCTGCTACCACAATAATCTGAACCAAAAACCCCTTTTCTCATCAACACTACTTTCCATGCAGCACGGCAAATTCAGGATATGTTGCCAACTATCCATCTTTTGAAGCATTTGCTTTTGTGATGGTCTTCAAAACTTACATTTGTGCTGAAAAAAAGGAAATGGAGCATGTGATTGAACACATACCGAGCCGATGATCCACTGTCAAAATTTTTAGCCCGATATCTTCGAAAATGGCTAAGTTGGCCGCTTTTACTTTTTGCGGTAGTCAATATTGACAATATTAACCCTCACATGTGTGCGGCGTTTTCCAGCTTCTAATGTGTAGGGGGGGGGGGGGGGGGTAGGGGCTGATCGAGCTAGAGCTTCGCGGGAAAAAAACGAGGGGGTTGCCCGTGACGAGAGGAAGCCGATGAATGATACCCAATTTTAAGGTCCTAGGTCATTGGTTGACCTTCCAGGTCAGGTCAATGTTCCAAAAGTCGGGAAAATCGGGACCTGCTAGAACTGCGTAAAGTGAAGCTGTTATCGGGTTTTTCGGGGTGCTGATCACGAATATCCTGTTAGTTTTGATCACAGATGATTTCTTCATGCATTTAGGCCAGATCGGGTCAGGTCAGGTCAGGTCAACCATTAGGCGTCCTACCGGCTATCCATAGTAGGTGTCAACTACCACTGACGGCGTCGTAGCATGTTACGAAGGCACTAAAACTACTTCGGTAACGTTCAAATGGATGCTAAATTCGAAATCAGCCCGAAAACTACTCTAGAACATGTAGTACTCGAAAAAGTGAATCGAGGTCATCAAAGGTCAATGACCTGACCTGACCTTCAGGTGACCTTCACACCCACCGTGATGCATGGAACGAACATCATTTCACATGTTTGGACGTCTACAATCACAAAAAGACTGGAAACGCGCCGATAATGTGAGCTGACATACCTACGCCAAATCGCGATTCCGGCCGAACATGGTCTCGAGCATCAGGTCACAGGTCAAAGGTCTTTTGGGTCAGGGTCATGAAATTTTCAGAGTAGGTGTAAAACTGATCAACTCGAGGGTACTTAAAGTTTCGTCGCGATCGGCCGCTTTTTGCGAGAGTTATTTGCGAAAAAACCATGGGGGGCTCATCCGAACCCCCTACACATGCCAGGGAAATAATGCTTCCAAATGCACTTATCGGTAATCGGTCGCTACCTTTTCGACATGGTATACAGTATACACCCCCCTCAAAGCTCGTAACTCGTAACGAGCCTTCGCTCGGGTGTCGCTCCCTACCCCCCCCCCCCCCCCCCGCTTGGCCATGGCTGGATATCTGCACCCATGCACCCACAATGTTCCAGCCGTTCCTACGCCCATGGTGACTGAGATCACATTGAAAAAGGCGGCCGGTTAGAGGTTAGAGGAGGCAATTGGTGACAAAAGTGGCCAAGCTTACGCGCACGGGCTATCCTGTCTCCGGAGAGGATCGTGAGACGCTATTGGAAGAGCTCCCTGAGGCTCATTATCTACAAGAGCCTCCAGCAGCTCAGTCGAGGGATGGTCGATGACAGGTCGATATGCATTTTCACGCAGGACGGCGTGCCAGCTCATCGCTCTGCCAAGGTCCAGCGGTGGTACGAATCGAACCTGCCGTAGCTCTGGAGGAAGGAGGGGTCATGCCGGCTACCATCTACATAGACCTTATCCTGATCGAGGAACTTAAGGATATCGTCCAGCCAGACTTGGACAAACAGAAGCCGGCGGTCAGCCTCAGCGCCTTGCCGTTACAGCTCAAACGGGCATGGTAAAAAATCAAGCCGTCTGTGCTGCCAACCTGGTCGCCAGCGTACCAAATTGCGAACAAATCCCTGTTCGTGGGGAATTACTGAACGTTGAAAAGCATCGCTGCCTCTTATAGAGCAACTTGGATAACACATTTTTTTTTATACGACAAAACTTATGCAGGACCCTGTAGTCTGCGATGTGGTTGTCGAGCGTATGTCAGTTAGCCGTTCGGCATGGTTAAGGATGCCTTTTTATTTAAGCAGGGCTTTTTATCTGTAATGCATCATTTTAACTAACGATTAGCCGGGTAGCTTTCGACATTGAAATTACCCGTCGGTTCCCCAAACACGGCCGGTAGCTCGTTTCGTATCTCGGCCTCTGCTTCTCGCCGCTGCACTGATGCCGCTCCTCATTCAATCACTGAGTGCGGTACTGGGGGTGATTCGTGCCGCCAGGCTGCTGTCGGCCGCGGGTGCATTACACCGATAGTGTCTGCACTGAGCGCGGCGCGGCCGTTTCCGTTTCGACTCCCGCCGTGAGACTTGGTCGGCGTTGCGGATATTGTGGCGGCGTATCGACGATATGATGTGCGATGCTAGTCACGATGGGTGCCCGCGTGCGATATACGGCGCGGGCGGGCGCGGCTGTTCCCACCCAGCGGAGCCTGCAGTCTCCGGGGCTACGACCGAATCGGCGGACCGTAGAATCGCTCGCCAACGGAAGATTGACGAGGTGTTTAAACTGCGATTTCGTTGAAGAGCATGCATAAGTTACTTGCTATAACTTATAATGTTTAATCATACCGAAGGATTGTGGATAACAACTAAAGTAGCCGTACTCGCAGATACAGTGGGCTCTGTGGTCTACCTGGCCGCGGCCCGCCGGGTTGTCACCGCCCATACATTCTGCACCGGCGTCCCTGTCCGGTGGGTTTCTGCGGCGCGCGGCGCGCTGCGGTGAGGCGCCGGCACCCATCGGTCACGCATGTGCCGCTCCTGGGACGGCTGGGTGCGCTCCGCGCCGTTCTCGCCCCGCCCTGAGCTCGGCGCGTGCACTGTTCACAGCTGGTGCGCGCAGAACGTGCAGTAACTGCAGGAACCTCCGGGACCTCGGGTAGGACCAGCGCCCGGGCGGTGGTGGGTCCGGTGCTGCTGCTTCTTGTCTAGAGCACAGACGGAGTTATCCCCGGCAGCAGTAGGTCAGTATCTGACCACTCCGACAGCTATCCTTTGTAGTGAGAGGACACAAGTCAGCCTGCCCGCGATGACAGTTCCAGAGTTGGTTTTTAGCAGTTATGCGACAATCGATGGCCCACTGGGAGCGCGTGACGTGCATCTGTTCACGATTCCTCTCACATGGGGATGCCATCTTACAGAGACGGACTGGCACGAGGCGCTGCTCAGCCGATAGTGACTAGTCGGCCGGCCGTGACCCACCACCTGCAGCCAGTCGGTGACACAGAGGTGCGTGCACTGTGCAGGTGCTCGCAGAACGTCGGTCCCACTATTAGACCGTCGGACTGGACCATAGCCATCGGACTACGGTCTCAAGGACCAGTAGAGCACAATGCCTGCCGGACCGCCTGGGACTGTCGGATCCATAGAAATAAAGTCGGATCGCCCGGGATCGATGGACCTCAGGGCTCGTCGGACCGTGCCGCTGTGATGACGGGGCGCCGCTCTCCCGGCCGGTTCATCCCGGACAGGGACAGTCCAGTTAGGCGGCTGTGTATCGGGATTTGGCGTCCGTTCCGGGCCGGCGGTCCGCCTCAGAGGCGCGTTCCGGTCCGATGCGGCGGCCGTCCGTCCGCTCCTCGCTCCCCGCCCGCAGCCACCTCTGCAGCCGCCGCCGTCCGTTCCTCCCTCCCCGCCGCCCCGCAGCCACCTCTGCAGGCGCCG